ATTTGGCATTTCTCCACAGGCTATCCTTCCCCAGCTCCCCCCGCACTCTCCCTCCTCTATTCCCCTCAAAAGATCCCACGCCTGTAATCCCAGCACTTTGGGAGGCCGAGACGGGTGGATCACAAGGTCAAGAGATTGAGACCATCCAGGTCAACATGGTGAAACCCCGTCTCTACTAAAAATACAAAAAATTAGCCGGGCATGGTGGCGCATGCCTGTAATCCCAGCTACTCGGGAGGCTGAGGCAGGAGAATTGCCTGAGCCCAGGAGGCGGAGGTTGCGGTGAGCCGAGATTGCGCCATTGCACTCCAGCCTGGGTAACAAGAGCGAAACTCCATCTCAAAAAAAAAAAAAAAAAAAAAAGATCCCAGTGTGTAGTGCTCCCCTCTCTGTGTCCATGTGTTCTCATTGTTCATCACCCACCTATGAGTGAGAATATGCAATACTTCATTTTCTGTTCTTGTGTCAGTTTGCTGAGAATGATGTTCTCCAGATTCATCCATTTCCCTACAAAGGACAGGAACTCATCGTTTTTTATTGCCGCATAATATTCCATGGTGTATATGTGCCACATTTTTCCAATCCAGTCTATTATCAATGGGCATTTGGGTTGGTTCCAGGTCTTTGCTATTGTAAACAGTGCTGCAATGAACATTCGTGTGCATGTGTCCTTATAGTAGAACGATTTATAATCCTTTGGATATGTACCCAGTAATGGGATTGCTGGGTCAAATGGAAATTCTATTTCTAGGTCCTTGAGGAATCGCCACACTGTCTTCCACAATGGTTGAACTAATTTACACTCCCACCAGCAGTGTAGAAGTGTTCCTATTTCTCCACATCCTCTCCAGCATTGGCTGTCTCCAATGGCGCGATCTCGGCTCACCGCAACCTCCGCCTCCTGGGTTCAGGCAATTCTCCTGCCTCAGCCTCCTGAGTAGCTGGGATTACAGGCACACGTCACCGTGTCCAGCTAATTGTTTTTGCATTTTTAGTAGAGACGGGGTTTCACTATGTTGACCAGGATGGTCTTGATCTCTTGACTTCGTGATCCAACCGCCTTGGCCTCCCAAAGTGCTGGGATTACAGGCTTGAGCCACCGAATTGGCATACTTTTCTAGCGAATTTCCACTTGCTCCAGTGCAACAGTAGGTAGGCGGGATTTCCGGTGAGCGGGCTGGTGTGCTATCTGGAAGGTTTTGGCGGGACTTCTTTTGAATTTTGAAGGGGGTTTCCAATAGCGGGCTAGGTGCCGTGTGCAGAGCTTGATGTCTAGCGCAGAGTGATGACATAGTTTTCAGGTGCGGATAGGGATGGGCGTGTCTGAGCTCTAGGTCAGGACACCGGCCTTACAACCATCAGAGAATACTATAAACACCTCTAGTGCAAATAAAGTAAAAAATCTGGAAAAATTCAATAAATTTCTAGACACATAAACCCTCCAGAGACTAATCAGGAAGAAGTAGAGTCCCTGAGTGAATGAATAATAAGTTCTGAAATTGAAGTAATAATTAATAGCCTACAAACAAACAAACAAAGCCCTGGATCAGATTAATAGGAAAAACCAATATTGTGAAAATGGCCATATCGCCCAAAGTAATTTATAGATTCAATGCTATTCTCATCAAGCTACCAATGACTTTCTTCACAGAATTAGAAAAAACTACTTTAAATTTCCTGTGGAACCAAAAAAGAGCCCATATAGCCAAAACAATCCTAAGCAAACAACAACAACAAAAACAAAGCCAGAGGCATCACACTACCCCACTTCAAACTATAATACAAAGCTACAGTTACCAAAACAGCGGGATATGGATGCCAAAACAGTTATATAGACCAATTAAACAGAACAGCGGCCTCAGAAATAGCACTACACATCATCGGAGTTTTGACAAACCTGACAAAACAAGCAATGCAGAAAGAATTCCCTATTTAATAAATGGTGCTGGGAAAACTGGCTAGCCAGATGCAAAAAACTGAAAACAGACCCCTTTCTTTCACCTTATATAGAAATTAACTCAGGATGGATTAAAGTCTTAAATGTAAGACTTAATATCATAAAATCCCAACAAGAAACCCTAGGCAATACCATTCAGATCACAGGCAGGGACAAAGACTTCATGACTGAAACCCAAAAGCAATGACAACAAAGTCCAAAATTGACAAATAGGATGTAGTTAGAATGAAGAGCTTCTGCACAGCAAAAGAAACTATCATCACAGAGAAAAGTCAACCTGCAGAATGGAAGAAATTTTTGCAGTCAACCCATCTGACAAAGATCTAAATTCAGAATCTACGAGGAACTTAAATTTATAAGAAAAAAAACAACCCCATCAAAAAGTAGGCAAAGGATATGCATAGGCACTTTTCAAAAGAAGACATTCATGGGGCCAATAAACATATTATAAAAAAGCCCATTATTGCAGGTGATTATCAAAATGGACATCAAAACCACAATGAGATAGCATGTCACTCCAGTTAGAATGGCATTCATTAAGAAGTCAAGAAACAACAGATGCTGGTGAGTATGTGGAGAAATAGGAACACTTTACACTGTTGGTAAGAGTGTAAATTAGTTTAACTGTTGTGAAAGACAGTGTGGTGATTCTTCAAGGATCTAAAACCAAAAATGGCATCTGACCCAGAAATGCCATTACTGGATACATATCCAAACGATTATAAATTATTCTACTACAAAGCTACAGACACACGTATGTTTACTGCAGCACTATTCATGATAGCAAACACTTGGAACCAACCCAAAGGCCCATCAGTGATATACTGAATAAAGAAAATGTGGCACATATACACCATGGAATACTATACAGTCATAAAAAAAAATGACATAAAAATAAGTTAATGTCCGTTTCAGGGACATGAATGAAGCTAGAAGCCATCATTCTCAGTAAATTGACTGCAACAGAAAACGAAACACTGCATGTTCTCACTTATAAGTGGTAGTTTAACAATGAGAACACATGGACACAGGGTGGGAACATCACTCACTGGATCCTATGTGAGGGGCACAGGGCTCAAAGGGACAGAGAACATTAGGACAAATACCTAATGCATGCAGGCCTTAAATCCTAATTGATGGGTTGATAGGTGCAGCAAACTACCATGGGACATGTATACCTATGTAACAAACATGCATATTCTGCACATGTATCCCTGAACTTAACTTATAACATAAATAAATTTAAAAAAAGTTACATGTACTCAAATGTATCTAGTTAAATATTTAGTTACATATTCTAATTTTCCAGTAATTGATTCTCGTTTTGTGGTATTTCTTCTTTTGCAATATGACTCTATCTTCCATGTGCTCTTCTACTACATTTTTTTGAAAAAATATGTAATGTCCATTTTTAGAGTAGGCAAATTTATTAGTAAAAAATACAATTTCTTCACGTATAAAGGAACATTTGTTTATATGTTCTAAAATATTTATATTCTAAAATATTTTTTAATAACTGGAAGCATAACCAGTAAAATATTTGTTACATGGAATATTATGCAGCTTGTCTTTTTAAAATGGTAATTGACAGAGATGTTTAACATATATGTGTCTTTATATAGATTTTGTTTTTCCTACATAGAAAAATACATGCAATTATACAACATGCATATGCCATATAATATGAGAAAGAAAAATTCATCTTGGGACCCCAAAATCACTAAGGGAAAAGTTAAGCTAAGAACTGTGTCACCAAACTTGCCTCCCATTTTATATCTTAGTAAGATAGTTACCAACATAAGAAGCTACATACATTCCTGCCAATCTGCCCAGAAACAAATTCCTTGAGGAAAAAAGACAGCTACTGCTCAAAGTTATCCCTCTGAGACTCAGAAGAGACAAATGCATATCTGACTGCTTTCTCTGCCTTAGTATTTATGTATGTAAAAACGCAGATTCACTAGCCAGACTAAATTGTGTATGTGAGTGTAATCTTTTGTCTCTAACGTACTTTTTTTTTTGAGATGGAGTTTCGCTCTTGTCACCCAGGCTGGAGTGCAATGGAGCCATCTCGGCTCACCACAACCTCCGCCTGCTGGGTTCAGGCAATTCTCCTGCCTCAGCCTCCCTAGTAACTGGGATTACAGGCACGCGCCACTGTGCCCAGCTAATTTTTTTGTATTTTTAGTAGAGACGGGGTTTCACGGTGTTGGTCAGGCTGGTCTCAAACTCTCAAACTTCAGGTGATCCGCCAGCCTTGGCCTACCAAAGAGCTGGTATTACAGGAGAGCCACAGGGACCGGCCTGTCTGATATCAAAGACTAATGTGGAATCCTCAATTGGAGTTGTTCCTCTTACCTGACCGAACCAATCAAGTCTCCCTAAAATACTTAATAGCGCTGTGTTGCGATCACTTTAGGCAAAGGTAGAATAGGTAAGTCTTGAAAAATAAACTTGGACGGGCGTGGTGGCTTAAGCCTGTAATCCCAGCACTTTGGGAGGCAGAGGCAGGTGGATCATGAGGTCAAGAGATCGAGACCATCCTGGTCAGCATGGTGAAACCCTGTCTCTACTAAAAACAGAAAAAATTAGCTGGGCACGGTGGCGCGTGCCTGTAATTCCAGCTATTCAGGAGGCTGAGGCAGGAGAATTGCAAGAACCCAGGAGGCGGAGGTTGCGGTGAGCCGAGACCGCGCCATTGCACTCCAGCCTGGGTAACAAGAGTGAAACTCCGTCTCAAAAAAAAAGAAAAATAAACTTTATAAATTGACTAAGATCTCTCTCGTATATTTGGGGTTCAGAAATAAATTGTTTTATATATTATTTATAATTTTTAGTTATAATTGAGAGGGTCAGAAAAAAAGTTTTTTTCTTTTGTATGGGTTACTGCATCTTGAAATTGTGATAAAGGTCTTAATTACTGTTCTCTTAATTCTTGTCCACAGTATTTCCTACTGGGGGTCATTGACATCTTACGCAGTTACCACAACAGAAACCAACATTTTGGATCGGTTGTGGAGTAACAATTTTACTTTGTTTTTGGTCATTGTTTGTTACTTAGATAATATCATGAACTGATTAAAAGCAGGTGCTACCGCTCATTCCCAAAGGCTGGCTTACAGACTAAGGTCATAAGATATTATGCCTTTTTTAGACTTGGCGAGTGGAGAGGAAATGGGGAAAAGAAACGGCCTAGAGAAGTGACAAGGTCTTAGGGCCAAAAATCTTTTCTAAGGGTCAAGGTTTAGGGCCTGCGCAGCTTCAAAGCAATGCGATCTCTGCCGTGCGTTCCCGCATTCACAAAGGTCGTGGCGGTGGAAGCCGCATTTCGGACTCTCCAAAAGTCCCTGGGTTCCTCTTTCCGATTTGCGTCCCAGTGGGAAATGCGTGATGCGACCTTCCCCATCATTCTCTTCTCCCTTCGAGTATATCGCATCAGTGAAAACACTAGGCTCGGAAACTCCATTTCGTGTTGAGTGATTTTAACTGGCACAACCTACAGGTTACTGTAACCCAGACTACACTATTCTAGGTAGACATGTCCATTAACCAATCAGCTGTCAGAATCAGAGTCAGCGTCTATTAAGTTCCTAGGTTCTTAGAGAACTGGATGGGCGGGGTCCCAGCAGCCAGAGAGTTTTGTGGAGCCTTGACTGACGTAAGTCAACAAAGATCACGTGAGACGAATTGGTACCCTGGATTGGCTTACAAGTTGCTGGTTGGATGAAGGGAGGTTGCGGTGGTGCTTGCAGTTCGCCTTGTTATACAATTACAACTTTGTGCTGGTGTTCGCGAAGTTTGAGATTTTTAAGAAATTCTGCTCATCTCTCCAGCCCCGCCAGCTGCTGCCTTCCTTGTAGTTTCTGAGATGTGATCTGGTAGCCGAGTCTCGCAGTCCGTGGTTTAGTTGCTTTCGGCTTTGCTTTAGCGTTTTTCCTTAACGCCGCTGAGGCGCCGATACAATTGTCGCCACGGTCTCGAACGTCGATTTAGGGCGTCATTTTAGCAAATCGATTAAGTTTTGGTATCGGAAATTTGTTACGTTTCCATGAATTCCTGCGGAGTATCGCTCACTACCGCCGTTCTTGCCTTCGGTGATGAGGCAAAGAAAATGGCGGCGGGAAAAGCGAGTGGCGACAGCCAAGAGGAGTCCTTTACCTTGACACTTGAGGAAAGGCAGGCACTTGGTGGCATGGACAGGTACGCATCTCCATCACCCATCCGGTTGCCTGGCGGCCCCTCAGGGAGGACTTCGACGCAGCTTGCCCACGCTGTGGTGAGACTAGATCATCTCACCTTGGCAGTCAGCAAGCTGCTGCTCCAGCCCTCGGATTTGAGAAGGGATGGGTCATTGGCTTTCTCACAGTATTAACAAACCCTATCTCTCTCTCTACAGCCGCCTCTTCGGATTCGTGAGGCTTCATGAAGATGGCGCCAGGTCGAAGACCTTACTAGGCAAGGTAAAGCAACCAGGCGCAGTCAGAGTTATTTCGTCCGCGGTCTGTTCGACCCAGGCCCCGCGTCCCTTACTGCCTAGCCAGAATTTATTTTGGCGCTGCTCTGTCGCCTAGAAGTAGGAAAACTATTTCTTGCCTTTGCTCCCCGCGTCCTCTTGAATACTTGGCCCTTGTTTTAGCCTCCCTTTTACGCTGAGGAAGAGAGACGGACCGCTTTGAGACCGGGCAAAACCAGGTCCACCACACTGCCTGTTAACCTATGCTTTTTGTCCCTGAACTTTAGCGCCACAGATTGTGAATATATATAGTTTTGAAAATTTGTAACTTCCTGCGTCTTCCCTTCTCTTTTTGGCGTTTGTCTCTTGGTGTCTAATTTTAAACATGTTTTTGGCTTTTTTTTTTTAAATATACATATCCCTGGTGTCCTTAGTATAAGTAGTAAGAGCAGTGAAGAGTTTGCAGTTGATACTTGTACTATATACTGATGCGTATATATTTACCCTGAAGTTACGTGGCTTGTTTACTTTTTAAGGATCTACCAGCTGCAATTACAATACAGCAAATGACATTTCATGAATGTCTGTGTGCTTTTCCACTGAGGAGCCTTGTTTTTATGTGTCAAGCACAGACTACGAAGAAGTCGTTTGTGTGAAAACTTGGCACTGCCATTTAGTTAATGGCTGCTCCTGTCGGTCAAGATGGCGGGTAAAAAGTGGGAGGAGCAATAAAGGCAGAAGCTTTGAGAGACGGAAGAGGTATTAACTGGGAAACCGCATTAGGAAGTAAACCTCAAAGGGCGCTGGTGTAGCTTCATGTTACTTCGTAGAAATCTTGCGTTATCCCCAGCATTGACATAAGCATTCTTAAACCTATATGTGCTTATTAGTTGCAGCACGTTTAGTTACTCCCAAGTGAACTGTTGCATAACGGCGCTGGAATATTCCTCTGTGTATCCGTCTGGTTAAAATTTTGTTAAAGTATTTATATGTTGTCAACTGATCCCGTGAAATAAGGATGGTGCAATAATCGCACTGTCCTTTAGATGCCAAAATGAATAATTGCGAATTTCAGGTTATTACTGCATTTGTGAAGCAAATTTTATTTTTATTCTCAGGACTAACATTTTTACATGCCAACACTTTTACTTGTAGTGTAATTCAGTACAGACACCAAGTTCTTTTACCTGTAATCTCTTTAGTATCTTTGTTTTGATGGCAAATAATGGCTAGAAAACTAAAATTTAATGTATATATGTGTGTAACATACATATGTTTTAAATTTACTTAATTTCACTGATAAATGAAGCATGAATTAAACATTATGCAAGTGAAAATCGCTTTTTGAAAAACTTCAGTGATAACGATATAAGCAACAGTGATTCTTGATCTCCTACTTTGATGTTTAAAATAATTTGAATATTTCAATAATTAATTTCCTAAACTTGAATACAATCATTCCAATATATTAAAAAACTTTAGAGGAATATTATTTTATGATTGCAGTGATTGTTGCGGATTTAAATTGGGATTGATGAAGTTGCTTGCATTGACAGTATCTGAAGAATAGGCCAGCGTTTCTTACTTTAGTTATGGTAATCAGATAAAAGTAATTCGATGTTTTCTGGGATAATGTGAGAAAATACTGGTTGAGAACTTTAACTCTTCTTATAGCTGGAGTTTGGATAAATTCTCAGTACGTTGTGTTAATATTAAATTTTAGTTTGGAATGAACTTTTCATATATGCAACATGGGGTTAAATTTTAAGGATTTTTTTTTTACATATTGATTCTGAAGGTAGGCATGTCTTTTCCAGTTTTGATTACAGTAACATTTTAAATACGATAAAGTACTTTCATTATGTTTGGGGAGAACTCTAGCTTCATAAAACACTGAGTAATGTTGTGTATTAAACTGCAGAGACTTTTTTAAAACAAAAAATCAGTACAATGTCACTTAGATTTGAGACTCACTGGGAGTTGCCCTGTGCTTAAGTCAAGACCCACTAACCTCAACATTAAAGTTACTTAATAAAGCATTCTGCGGTCTGTGCTGGCAGCCTTATCAAATTTTTTCTTTTTTTATTAGCTTGATTGAGGTATAATTGATAGACAATAAAACTGCCCATACTTGCACAATTTGATTAAAATTGACACATACATATAGATATATATTCATGAAACCATCACAATTAAGGTAATGAATATATTCATGAAACTATCACTACAATTAAGACAGGTATTCATTCCTGAAGTTTCCTCCTGCTCTTTGAAATTCCTCCTCATTTCCCCTCCTTATTTCTCATCATCCCTGATCTCCACTGATCTCTTGTCACTTTATATTAGTTTGCATTGTAAGGATTTGATACAAGTGGAATTATTCAGTTTATACTTTAGTCTGATTTCTTTTAGTCAGCATGATTTTTGAATTCATGTTGTAACATCAGTAGTTTCATTTAAAGCTAAATAGCAGTCATAAAATTTTCTGTTGCTTCTTATAAGTCTGAATATAATAGTGAAATGTTCACATTGAAAATTTCAGACTGGATGTGATGGGTAATGCCTGTAATCCGGGCACTTTGGGAGACTGAAGTGGGAGGGTCACTAGAGGCTGGAAGATTGAGGCTGCAGTAAGCTATGATTGTACCTCTGCACTCCAGCCTGGGTGACAGAGATACCCTCTCTCAAAATAAGTAAAACAAAAAAATACCAAACAAAAAAAAGTTTGAAGTCATGTATCCTCAAACCCTGTGTTTGATTCAGTTTCTGAAATTCAGTTTCAAAGAATGAATGAACTGGAGTTCTGATAAAAGATCTATTGAATTTAGTTTATTGCTAGTATTAGTAAACTGGGCTACGTGAAATACCGTCTCATCTTCTGTGGAATGCTGAGCCTTGCCAGTTTCAGAATTCCTGTTCTCAGCCTTTAAAACAAATTGGCTTTTTTCTACCGAGATGGGATCAGGTCTTTACATGGTGGTAAATTATGGGGTTGACTAACTGCCAGGATTTCTTTTTTTAATGATGATTTTTATCATGCCTGTCATGTGTTGCTGTAACAGAATACCTCAGACTAGGTAATTTGTAAATTAGAAATTTAGTTGGCTTGGGATTCTGAAGGCTGGGAGGTCCAGGATCAAGGGGCTGCATTTCACGAAAGCTTTGGTGCTACATCATTCTTTGGAGAAGATGGAAGGGCAAGAAAGTGTCTAACAGTGCAAGTGGAGAGGGATGCTGAACTTGCTTTTGTAATGAACTTACCGTCACATTATTAGTCCACTTAGGAGATCAGCCTGCTCCTGATATTGTCAAATCTTAAAGGCCCCACTTCTCAACACTGGTGCATTGAGGATTAAGTTTTCAACACATGAATTTTGGGAGACACATTCAAACCATAGCACCTGTATTCCAAGATTTTGCAGTATGTATATAGTTTTTCCCTTTCCCACAGAAATTTGCTTGTCATTCCTGTTTTTAAGAGAAACTCTTAGAACGATCTTTATTTCTGATCTTTTCATTTTTTGTTCATATTTGTTTTGTCTGAAAGTTTTATTGATAGACTTAAGAAGTCAATCTTGACTTAAAAGCTTCTAGAGGTTTAAAATGTTACTCTAAGTGTCTCCTTTTTCCTGTCAAGTTTTCTAGACATTAAGGATGCTGTATCCCAATGACTAGTTTCTCTGATTTTTTTTTTTAACCTAATAGATAAACCGTTACATCAAACCATTAGGATGGTGGTTATAACAATAGAGTCCCTTGAAATTCTGTAACTTAGGAATGTTTATGATTATCATCTGAATTAGTGTAAATATTTAACAGTGTTAAATTTTTGGTAGAAGCTTAGTTACTTACTCATATTTAAACAATATGCAGTTCAATTAAATGAAAAGCAGATTTTAGCAACAGTAACATTTATTTCATCTTGGAAAACCATTTAGGTCTGATTTTGTTTGTATTATGATAGAGTTTTGCTGTCAAGCAGAATGTTACTTTTACGGTATGCTCAATATAATTCTGGAGGGGTTAACAGGAGAAACCTATTAAAATGCTTTTAGAGTTGTTTTTTAAAACTGTAATATTTCAATAGTGACATTTAAGATATCTGCTTTGTATGTTTTGTTTGCTACCTTGTAGCGTAATATTCATTTCCAGTTCTAAAAGTTGTGTTTTGAGTTAAAAAAAGCAATCGTAATGTAATGTTTTGTTGTTTAGTATTAGGTCTTTAATTTGTTGTTATCAGGAGAAAGTATTTTATAGATTGGAAGTTGTCTTCTAAACAGTTATGGTTGTTGTTACATATTGGACAAAGTATAATATATAAACTTCTGGTGCAACACTGGGCATACATATCTGAAGCAATTATAGAAAATATTTTTATATCTAGGTACAGTTCCAAACTATATGAGTAATTTGGAATATAGGCACTTTCCTGATACTGGTTTGCTTTTTTGTTTGAGACATAGTTTCACTCTTGTTGCCCTGGGGAGAGTACTCGCCTTATTGCAACCTCTGCCTTCTGGGTTCAAGTGATTCTCCTGCTTCAGCCTCCCAAGTAGTTGAGATTACAGGCCCCTCGCCACCGTGCCTGGCCAATATTTTGTCCTCGTGTTGGCCAGGCTGACCTGGAACCCCTGACCTCAGGTGGTACACCTGCCTTTGCCTCCCAAAGTGCTGCGATTACAGGCCTGAGCCACCATGCCTGGTCTACTTTTATTATTAAATAACTAGCTTTTAAAAGAGTAATACTAATATAACTAGGGAACACTTCACATTATTTAAGTTACCAAATAAGATTGTTTTGCCTGACATGAATCTCTGTGATTCAGGTGACAAAAGTTTATTTATAGGCATAACGCTGTAAGCCAAAATTAAATTTTACTGCTTTCCAACCACAGTATTAGATAGTTGTTCTGACATAGATTAATTTTAGTTTTGAAGGTTATTTTTGCATTGCAACTAACTGATGCTAACGAATGGTCTTTTTCTGAAATGAGGTATCTAGAGAGC